ATGTTCTAGCCCAGAGAAATACACTTACACATCTTTGTCGTTGTTAACAATATAAAAAAACGCAAACAAATAACATAAATAGCATATTACAGGTAATGAAGGCTAAAAGTTTTAATCTCTGTTGTATATAAGGCAAGATATTTTACCACTTCTTCCCACCTCACCTGTATGGATACAATGGCTGCTGTAAACACACTCTGAATGTATATGTACAAAAAGGTCACAGCAGAACCTCTATAGCGCTGCTGCTACCACCTTTAGTGTAAAATATTAATCATGTTTTTTCTATTATGTTGCTGTAAATAAGCAACCAGCAGGGCTCTGCAGGGCAGAACACTTGAAGTGGAAATAAATAGAAGATGTGACCTCACGGCCCCACAGATGGAACATGAACATGCTTTTCCTCTCTCGAGCCGTATGATTTATTCACATCAAGAGAGTGTGTTTGTGCATACAGTAGGTGTGTCCAAACAAGGACGTAGGAGGGTAGGAGGGAAGTTGAAGTACTTCTTGACCTTAGCAACATATTTATGATTGTCCTCACACCAAGCATGCTGCATGCATAACATGTAAGTCTGATTGTGTGTGATATATTGAACTTTTCCCCTCTAACTTAGTATTATAAACTTATTTTTATGTGTCTGTGTTTTGAACTTACACATATATTTGTATACCAATGTAAAATCTCATTCAGATTAGTATTGCAGACAGGGCAGGGTGAAGTCATCCCAAGTTACAGTTTCAATGTTTGTCCCTGTCTTCCATCTTTTTGGTCCATTTCTGCCACCTTTTGTTTATAGTGTCAAGGTAGCATCTTTTCCACCTCAGCAAACCATAAAAACACTTTTGAGAAGTGTTTTTTTTTTCTTTTCTGGCATGAATCAAAATTGCACTTAAAGAAAATGTGGATGGAAACTTTCTATTTCTACTCTCCTCAAACCTATTCCTCCATGACCTTCCCGCCTAAACTAGAGCACCACTCTGATACAAACCTGCCAAATTAAATAACAAAATTAATTGTCTGTAACTGTCCTCCACAGCCACACAGAGGCATCCCTATCAGCAGTATGCATCATTTGGTCATGGTTAAAAGTCATGTACATTGACTGTCAATAGGAAGTAGAAAGCACACTGCAGTCTCCCATGTCAAGAGGACTTGGAAGATGTAACTATTGGGCGTTTGCTGAAACAATTGATGCTGTCATTTTTCTTGAAACGTCAGTCTCCTCTGATAGACTGAGTCGTTATAACTGCTGATACTGTTATCAGACAAATAGGGTGTCAGCCAGACATGAAACATTTCCATTGAGTGCTGTTTCTTTGTCGGTATTAGGTTGAAATTATTATTAAATCACAAAAAGCAGTGTCTTTTTTGTAGTTTATTTGTAGTTTATTTTCACATTAGAACCAGTACCAGTACCTGGAATTTGGCATCAGCTCCCAACACTACATTTTTTCAGTACTTAACTCTCTCTATAATAACCAAAATGTAATTTAAGTCCAAAATTATCTCACTACTGCAGTGCTTGCTTACTCTAATAGTTCCCCTGTGAATAGTATGTATAGAATCAATAGTATGCATTTCAAATACCATTGGTTTCATACTATGGTTTCAGACATACAAAAAAAATCTCACATATATAATAATCATAATAATCATGTTAAGTCAATAATCATGGACAGCTATAAAGAAGTATTGTTGATCAGCACACTTGCCAACCTCAAAATAAAAAAAAGCCTGGTTATCCAACTAATTAATGACCTGAAGATGTTGATGAAGTTGTTAAAGTTTCGATGTGGAGATTTAAACTTCGCCGCTGGCTGCAGGCGTGGTAACAGGCTACCGTGGGGGATTTTTCCTTCAGGGTATCTCTGTAATATTACACTCTTCAGCTTTTCAATATATTTTGTGTTTGACCAGGTTGGATGTTGCTCTGGCCAGCTTTGCATTTTGCATTACAAAGTCTGTGTGCCCTGACTCACTGTGACTTCAGCAACCTGCAGAGAGGATATAACGTTAGTCTAGCTCTCTCTATTTCTCTCTATAGTAACTTACCCTCTCACTCTTTAAAAGTACTGTGGTCGGTACCCAATCCTAGTGCTCATGTGACCTAAGTAGAATTTCAGAGACTGCAACAGATGATAGAAAATACATTATTTTTGTTATCTGTGAAGACTGAGAAATGCTCTAATGGAAACGAAAAGTTCTAGAAAAAGCTAGTAAATGGATGAAGTTAATTCTGCTCAAAAATGAACATGATGCTAAACAGTTGTATATTGTTACTCTGAGATTTCTCTAAGTCGGAGAAATTAACCCTGGTGGGTTGGGGTCATCTTGACTTGGGGTTCTAAAACACCTGGGGGCGTGAAGTTTGAAAAGCGTAGGCATTTATCAGGCAGGAATTGTCTAATAAAAAGATGTTATTGGTTGCATTGTGCGAAATATTTTTGGGGCTTGATCAATTCACACTAAATTAAAATTGAGATATATTGGCCTCTAATGCTTTAATAGTGACTTTTTTTTTTCTTTATTCTTACTTTGTGAGTCCCCCAACTTTATGGAATTGGATAGCTGGAGTTAGTAAGGTATGCAGGTATTAAATTAAGAAAGGAATTTACTAAAAGAAAATGTAATATGCTGCATGATGTAAGCATCAGAATATATAAAATGCATGTGTACACACTGTATATGTTTCAGTATTAGACCTTCCAGTGTTGGATCAAAGATTGTAAGTAGGATCAGATCAGTGTTCAGTATCAGCCAATACCCTGAATTAACATAACAGAAATCTGTATCAGTAGAGAAAAAGAGAGATCATTGCATTTCTTCAACATATTGCCTCTTCTCTGCACCTCCCTATATCATTTCTCCTTATGTCTCTTTTTTATATTCCCCCATCCTGTTCTCTGTCTGTCCTTCCTGCTCTGCCTCTCTGTCTTTCTGCCTTCCCTGCAACCGACCTCAGTGTGCTCCCGTAGGACAGCCCCCAGCTCCCTCTAATGATGTAATTATAGCCAATGAGCCAATGTGATGACTCAGGCTGATTAACGGCATCAAAACAACACTGGCCCAACAACTGAGACATCAATGGAGGGAGATAAATAGAGACAAAGAAGAGAGGAAAGGATGCCCTGACAATGCACTAATAGACATGACATCAGTTGTTTCAGGGATTATGTATGACATACTGCATGTATGATTGGTTATGCAATATCTGTGTGGGCATCAGTAGCTTAAAGGCTATAGCAGTAAGCTTGTGCTGAGAGATCCCTGGTTTGAATTCCCAGGTAGGTTTGAAAATCTTGATGTGGTCATGAATTAGTAACACTCTCTCATTGCTGGCTGTCAGGATGCCCTTGAGCAAGATGCAGTGGCTGCAGCGGTGTTGCTCTGTTGCTAAGAAGGTTGTGGTTGTATTCTGCAGCTCTCAGCAGTGATTCTCTGAGCGTATGCACTGAAAAGGCAGCTGTAAAGAACTTAATCTTTTTTGTACTAAAGTGGCCATTCAAACCCATCCGCAGTAAAAATTTGTCTCAATCACCTCAATGTAAAAACCCAACACCTTGTGTCATCTTCGTGCTTTTCCAAGGTCTGAGCCCTGCTAAATAAAACCTGATTGATCGCCTATTAATGTATCTGAAGGCAACTATGATTTACTTGTTCGTAGCAAACAAGACAGCTTCCATTTTTCTCCACTAATGGCGTCTGTCCATGCCATAACTCTTCTTGTCTCCATGTATTCAAGCTCCATTACATGTGGCATCCATTTCAAAAGCAGTCGGCGTCTATTGGACCATTACTTGATGTGGTAGAGCTGATAAAATAAGATGAAAGGCTGTGTGGTAACTTAAGAATAGAAGGTGTTGCTGGAGAATTGTAAATAGGTGTTGGTGTATTGTAAATGGGTTTTGAGTTGTTATTTTATTGCAGTTTTATTTAGTTTATTTATCACAAAAGTAATTACACTTATACAGGAAAGAATCTGCAAGGCAGATACAAGCAGCCCCAGAGAGCTGTTGCACTGCAACTGGTTGTTTGATGATTTGAAATGGCTGTTTGGGTGCTGCAAACAACAATATTAGAAATTAAAAGTTGTTAACTACAAACCTCAAAACCATGTTTAATTCTGTGTCATGATGAGATTACTCTATAGTATTAATTTAGTATTAACTCCAGCTCTATGAATATTGGCTGTGGGATCTCGGCAAATATACACACTCGCACTGATTTACAAATCGCACATCTTTTTCTTCTCCTAGGTCTCCCATACACACATGCTGATAGATATGTAAGTGATCTATGACTTTATTCCTGAGGATTGTGTTCAAACATTAATGTGGCTCCTTCCTCTGTTTTTGTTTCCTTACAGAGAGCAAAGAGGTGTACAAGAGACAGGTGCTGTCAATCACATCCATCGCCATGGCAATCAGTCTCCTGGGAACCCTGTGTATGGCCCTCTACTGCCGCAACAAGTGAGAAGATAAAAAAAAACATGCATATAGATATACATACAACCCCCAGTTCATATGTAAATTGGTAAGGGCAATGTGGTGATCAATCATATCAGTTGTAAACCCCTAACAAACTAAGTAAACGTTTTGATCAACTGTACTGTGCACACACCATGCAACAATGAATTACTACTGACATTTCAGGTATGCTAATTTTTCCAAATAATAATAATAATTTTTGTCTCTTTCACCTGTGTCACCATTTTTCCAGATCCAAATGTTGTCTATCATAAGCAATACAAATGATGATCAATAAAAACAAAAATCCCAAGACCCTAGTTGTAATAAACCGGAATCCTCCTCTATATAAACAATAAAAACTATAAAGGTGGGATATGTGATACTGTAGAAACACTGGAATAAATGCACAAAAATATAGTAGTATCCAAGGTTTTTATTTCTTTTTCTATATACAATATGATTCGATTTATTTATTTATTTTTTCACTTTTATTTAACCAAATAAGTCAATTGGGAACCAATTCTCATTTACATGACCTGAACAAGAGAAGTAGATTTAAAAACAAGTGCAGTGATCAGAAACTAACGCATGTACTGATTTATTAAAGGAAGATAATGTAATAAGGGTGTGCAGTTTTAGTGACATTTGCAGCTGGTTCCAGTCCTGGGAGCAGCAGAGTGGAAAGAGTGGCAGCCAAAGGATGTACTGACTTTAGGTGTGTCCAAAGTAATTAATTTACTAGAACACAAATTGTGGTTACTGTTACAAAAGCTTGGTAGAAATCGGAATTATGAAGATATGAATTTGAGTTCTGATCCACCCAAGGAGGAGATTTTGAGGGGGCAGGCGACTTGAGGTACATTCCTGTTGAACAGCATAGATTTTTTTTTATTAGTGTTTAAGAGTAGGTGAAGGTTGGAGCAGACGTACTGAATACTGTTGAAGCTGAGTTGCACAGAAGACAGAGCAGTGTTAAGGCATACGATACGATATAATATGCTAAAGTTGCTGCTGCGAAGCTAACAGAGTTAGCCAGGGATGTGTGAAACTTCCATGTTTTTTTGTCAGCGCAGACAGAGCTAGCGAACCGCGAGGAAATATTTGCTAAATTTGAAAAAAAGTGTATTGTATTAGTATCTTATTACCTTTATTAAGCTATCAAATAAAACACTAGGTCAAAACAATATTATATATACAATTCTATCAACACATAAATAAAGATAGTGAACAACATAAACATGTTTTCTCAGCCTGGCTGAGGTCAGGGTCTGTTTCCCCTTTAAATACTTGTTCCTGTCCTATCCTGTTCATGGATAGGATTAGTGTCACAGAGAGGACTGGTTTGGGTTAGGGCTAAGGTTGGATGGATAGGTTAAGGTAAGGGGTAACACAAATCGGTATGCAAATAGACTTTGACACAAGCAAGGCACATACACACACATAAAGTTCAAGGACTGTAACTGGGCATTTTCACCCAGCTCTTGGATTCCATTTTTCCAGCCATGCACAAATGTGACATATGGAATTTTCTCATGAATATATTGACAGGTACATTAGCTACAGTGACATTTAATTTCATCCCAACCATCAGTTTTCATTTGAACTGAAAGTTGCTCCAATGATTTTCAAACTTTCAAAATTACTTTGACGATAATATTCATGGCAAAATCTGTCCTAAAGTAAGTAAAATGTTAAAGTATTTGGTAATAAGCCCAGTTGGGTGTGGGCAGAAGAAATGCCCAAGGAGACATTTTGTTAATTTAGTGAAGGCCGAAGGAACACGTTGAGGCATCAAACATCTTGAACGAAATCCCAGACCGAGTATTTGCAACAATTTGTAAATCTCATTATGTGCACACACATATTCATAGCCCATTATAACCCAAAGGTCAGCTCTTGTGGCTCCTGCACTGTCTCTCTCCTTCCTGTCCCTCTCTCCTTATCTCCATATTTTTGCAGTGCATGCTCTGTGTGTGCACATTAATTGGCATATGAATGGCCAACATCCATTCCTGGCTGCAAGAACTTGGCATGCCTTGCCTGAAGAGATTCTATATTCTCAATAGGATGGGTCGAACATCCGGTATGTAACGGCAGTGTGTCATTCGGGGTATATAGCCCGTGAGTAGGCTTTGATAGATGGCACTGTAATTCCATAGGCTTCCCTCTGTAATATAATGATGTGAGTGAGCGAGCAGCCTGACAACAAGATAATCGGATCAAGGCATGATGGACAGGCGCTTTCAAAGAATCTGTAATTGACTCAGGGAACTAGCTTGTTCAATGGAGAAGATGCATATACATCAGGAGGTGTTCATGCAAATCTGAGCAACCTGAATAAAGATACAGTCAAAGGTTTTCTCACACAAAACACAGCCAAATGGAAGACAATTGATTCTTCAATTCATGTTGTCGTCATTGCTCGTTGAAGGGCAACCTGCAGTGTGTATGTATTTGGAGAGTGACACATTTTCTCATTTTTGTCTCTTCTCCAACACATTAACAATGAGGTTGTGCTTTAGGGTTCACATCCACCCCCAAAAAACCTTATTCATTTTCATATAATTATTCCTCAAAGCCACTGGAAAGGGGCTAAAGAGCCGCAGGTTGCCCACCCCTGGTTTAGGGGTCAAGATACCAAAGATCTCTCTCTGTTTAAAGTACTGACAGCATGATAAATCTATGATAGAAAGTGTTGACCAATTTTTGACCAACATGACCTGTGAGATTGAGTTTTCTGCTAAATAGAAAATGGTATTAGCTCTGTCTCTTAGACACATTAATAATAGCTGTAGCTTCTAAGTAGGTTGGTTACAAAAAGTTGATGGCATCATTCAAACAAGTCTCATTTCACTTTTGCACAGCAAAAGCATATGCTTCTATCATAAAGAGCAAGCATACCCTTTTGCATTCAAAAGCATCAAATAAACAACCACATGTTGTCAGGGCTTTAGAAGAGATAATGGACCTTTCATATTAAGTGAACGCTTCTCCAAAAGTGGTGTGTACCAAATGTCGCAGCCTTCTTCTAAGAATATATAATTAAAGTGAGGCGGAGATGATAGGAGCTTACCAGAAGGCTGTTGGTAAACACTTCATTACATCGCTGTCATTCAGCAGATAATCGAGACAGGAGCTGTAAAGGCTGTATATGATAACGAGCATACCTCTGGCACAACAGAATGAAGTTATGATAAAAGGGCTTAGTGCATATAACTTGAGTAACTAACATTGTGACAATTAAGAGCATGTAATGCTGAACAGAAAAGTAAACCAGACCAGCTTCTTTAAGATGAATGTCAGAAATCAGATTAGAACTCTCTGCTCTGCAAAGGTCTAATTATTTCACTTCCTCTAACATGATTATCTCTAGACCTCTTGCTTTGAGTCATGTCTGCATCCATTCAAGATTAGGGTCAAGCTAATTAGTTTTCCGGTCAATGACTTCAGACCTTCAGTGTCTTTGCAATAAATATTACAAATGCATTCTGATTCAACCAAAACACAGTCCAGACTCAAAAAATCTTATCAGAAGTGAAATATATGTGAATATATATGTATGTGTGTATATATATATATATATATATATATATACATTAATACATTATATAAACTATAATACTAGTTTGTTCTAAGTCTTACTGCTTAGAGACGAAATAAGGCAAGGTACAAACAGAAAGTTCCTTCGGTCAATAGCTCACTTTCTTCTGCTCTGTGCTCAAGGGCATTGAGGCTGATAGAAAGCAATTTTCACAGGACACACTCATTTTTTCTATCTTCTGTTTTTCAAACAGAACTCCTATAGATACACCCCAGTGTCCTTTACAAGAATGACACACGATATTATGTATATTTGGAAAAGTAAAGCAGGATAAAAGCCCATAAATTTAGTGTTTGGATGTAGTTGTGTATAATTTAGATTTGCATTAGAACAATTATATTGCTTTATCCTTTATGCTTGCTTTTTGAGTTTGAAATACAATGCTGTAACTAGAATGAGCTGCACATTTCGGGACTATTGGGATCACTATTGGGATCACTATTGGAGCCAGGGAACTAGGAAAGAAAAGATGACCTTAAAATGGTCTGCAGTTAAGAACTGCATATATATTTTAGAAACAGGTTGAGTGTAAAGTCTTTTTTTGGCCTGCCTGAATGTTCTGTAATGTTCTATCAGGGTAATGGTGTTAGGGACCACGGGACCTTAAACACCACATTAGTGAAATTGTACATTGGTGTCATTCCTTTCTGAAACAACGGTGGTGCAACTGTCCCTAATCTCCTGTTTTGAATTCATTGGAACAAAAAAAGAGGTGTTATAGGTGGGACGTAGTGGGAATGTTGAATTCAGAACACAATTATGACACTGAGGAACTCAAAACATGTTTTACTAGAAGTTATTTGGAGAGCTTGTGTGATAAAAGAAGGATGAATGTGGCCTCTTAAGTAAAATAAAATGGGGACAGTTAAAGGCTTTTGATGTACTTGGGCTATCCTTACACTTGTGTACAGTTTAGCAACTCAAAGCCAGCATTACAGCAACAGCAACACCACTTGACGATTCAATAATCATGGACATATATAGTAGATACTATATAGTACATACTGATTGGTTGTGTTGAGAACCTGCAGACCTGCACAGGATTCACTGTAATTCAGCTGACGCTGGTCAAAGCTCGCCTGAAATAAATTCCACTTGTACATCGACTCTTTTTTTTCCTTTCTCTTTAGGAGGCGCAGAGAGAAACTTCAGGCCCACCTGAAGGAGAGTCGCAGTTTGAAAAACTACACTGCTAATTCCCATACTGCCCTGGATGCCAAGATAAGGGCCCCCAATACCAACCTGCAAATGCATGAGGTGACTACTGCTGTTTTTACTTTTTCCATCTTGACGGTCTTTCAAAGTCTTGCTGCCTAGTGTAAGACATAAACAAACAGTATTCATGAGTGTAAATCAAGGTGTTCTCATGCTCTCATTCTTTTAAGACTGGCTTAAACTTAGACTTGTCTTAAAAATTAACCAACCTGTATCAATTCAGTTTTTGTCAACATTCAATTCATGCTATTAATTGCCATCAGCATAAATTTGCTTAGATTATTGCTCAATTAAACAACAAAAAAATTCAACAAAAACAAACATTTTCTATCTGGTAGCAGTGTCCCTGAAGAGATTATCACAAATTAGACATATGCCGTACACATAGAACACCTCCGAGTATTATAATCTATCATAAAATTCATCACCCCCCTTCAGTTTCTAGCTGCATATGAATCAGTATGTATACCCATCTCCACCTGGCCACTTGCATCAGGCTCACAGGTCTTTGAGTGAGCAATTGTTCAGTGGTTTGGGAGCGCGGTGCTGGATAGCGATGTCATTCATCATCTTCTCAGCGCTCTCTGTCATCACATCTCTCCCAGAAGTGCGTCGTGGAGTAGCTGGCATGGAAAACATTACCTTAATTTGAATGTCAGTCAAATATACATCTTCCATCGCCTTGGGGGAGTTCATGTATGTATTTGTGCACTATTGGGCATAAATTAGCTTTAATAGTTTGTACATGTTTATCATATAAATTACCTATCTAATCTACACAGGTCTGACACGAAGCTTCATTGGATAAATTGTACGTTTCCTGCAGGCATGATTTGAATTTGCAATGAAGCAAAGCACATGTACTGTACACACCAGGGACTCTATCCATCATAAATGCATTAATATACACAAGATGGATAAATCACTTTGCAGGAGAAGCACAGAAATGTTTATTTTGTATGTAAGATTTGTATGTGAGATTTGCAGTAGAGATAATTACAGTTCACACTGGCGGTTCATGATTCAGCTGACAGTCTTCTACCAACACTCACCACTTGATTTTTACAACCATGAAGGCAATTGCTTATCTTATCCAGACCATGTCCAAATAGTTTCTGTGATTCCTATATACTGCATAATAGACAGTTTTTGGACCACTGTTTTGAAGCCTCAAGTTTGGCATTATTGCCGTCACCATCTTTTTTTTGTTGGACCCAGAAGTGACCATATTTAGAAAAGAGGGTGGAGCTGGGGAGGAGCAAGGGGTGGTTCTGACTGAGAAAGTCTCTGTGGAAGCAACCTCTGTCCACTTCTTTTATACAGTCTAACTAAATGATAGTTCAGCATTGAAAATTATGCTATCTAAGCTAACTGCCGATAGCCTCATATTTACTTTAGCAACATAGGAGAGGGTATTGATCTCATCTTAGTCTCGACAAGAAAGCAAATAAGCCTATTTCCCCCAAAACCATTCCTTTAAAATAGAGGCGACAGATCAGAAAAATGTTGAGTCATTTTTGTAATGGGCAGGGTCATTTTGAAAGGGGAACTGCCTCATTTGTTGACTTTTGTTCAAGTACTTACAGACCTAGTGAAATAAATACATTATTCACCTGTACTGAGTACTGGCACTTCTGATTTCTGTCCACATGAGTACCCTTCTCATTGTAAACCGCTACCTCCTGGTGAGCATAGGTACATAACCCTAAACACCCACGTAACACAAGATTTTCTTCCCCACAGGCATTCTGCTAAGACCCACCCTCTGCCTCTGATTAGCTGGTGTTCTTTTTTGGTTTGGTTGGTTAAGTTTAGGCATGAGCAGCGAGATCATTAGGGTTTGAATAAACATTCAGAGCCAATCAGAGGCAGAGTAGGAGTAAGGGTTAGGAATTGTCTAACTTGAATCCACAGGTAAAATAAGTAAAAGTGTCTGATTGCAACAGGACTGCAGAGGCTCTGTCGACTTTAATCTTGAGCTAATAGACTTTAAAACACAAGGGTGTTCTTGCCAGAGGATCTTGGGAATCGGTTCACAGAGGGTTCAGATGTCTAAGATTGGAGACAGAGCTAACCAAAGCTTGAAAGTAATCTGTAAAGTCTGTAGTTTGCAAAGACGGCATGTCAGGTATGCCTCCTCATATTACCCTCAAGCTGAGTGCTCTGTCAAGGACAAACAAACTGGTCACCCAAACTTACATATAGATCAAGGCAATGGCAGCAATCTAACCTTCTACACTGATTTAGATCTTATATGCCATAAACTTGAAAGTGCTCTAATCAAAGTGATGCACTTATTTACAAAAACGTAGTACTGCATTGGTGTTGTCGCACCTATAAGAAGTACATCATGTTACATTTTGATTTCAACCTAAATGTAATGGTAACAGAGTTCACTTGTGTGGATGCAAACTGTAGCCCAATAAACTAATAGTTATTTGTGCACATAGTACATGCAAATTGATTCATGTATATTTATCAGCCTAACAACTGACACACCAGAGGAAAACAGATCAATTATTGATTTGATTGGTTTTATGTACTAAGACTAATCACACCTATGTTCTCCTTGATCTTTATTATTCAATATTCTACACACAGTGCAGACTTTTAGCTTGAACTTCTGTTCAAATATTCAGATGTTTTACTTTTAGGACATTATTGCTTTTACTTTTGACTTTCATGTTTTTCAGATTTTCAGATCTTTTTTTTCTTACTTTTCTTATGTAAGTCAGTGGAAGGAACCTACTGCTCTTTAAACTCATTCCCTTTCTCCTTACAGCTAGGAACTTCCAACTTTAAATGGGTCACTGCACTTTATCAGTTCTTTTCAGCTTTGTGATACCTTTTTCATATTTTTTGAGAAATCACAGTTCAGGTTTTATGCTTTTTTTAAGAGTTTGAGACTTTATAATGGATGTGGACTTAGGCAGTTGGAGTGGGTCAACTTAAAGATTCAGAAAAATTATATCAAAATGTTAATGCCTCCTTTAAATCAGAACATAAAATATGACCCACAGGTTCACTCTCTGCCTTCAATGCATTTGTAACTCAAGGCAAAAATCTATGACTCTTTGTTATTGCTTAAGTTCCCTTTATTTAAACAGTAATACATAGAAATAATATATAATATATTGAGCCACTCCTGCAGCAACTCAGATGGTGAAATTGCAAATGATTACAAGTTTCTCTTTTTAATAACTATAATTTTTATAGGTGATGTGTTGTTATCTTTTTACAACTCTATGTTGAATAGTTTGCAGCCACTGGAGACCTACACAAGTGGTGTTTGGCTGACATCTCCTAAGGAGTGAGTCTGTAGCCTCATTCACCTGGGCAACCCAGTAGCTCAGAGGTTAGAATTGGGGCTTCACAGCAAAGAAGGCTTGACCTCCTCTGCAGCACACCGACCGACTTCTGAGACAAGCAATTCGCAGCAATTACTTTGAACTTTTCTAGATTTGTTGACTAAATTACCAGATAAAAAGAGAGGGAGACAGTTATTTCCCACCTGTTTCAGTTGAGACCATGCAATAATTAGCATTAGCACTACGGCTCAGTTACACTAGAAAGTGTGTGCTACATGCTAGCCAGTCAGGGACTTGCACTGAAATAGACATATTTTAATATTTTAAAAAAACAGCCTCAGCACTCCGTCCTGATTTATTGTTCACATCTATTTTTTTGTTGTTGTTGTTTTTTGACTGTTGTAATAAATACACTGAGGTCACATTGCAAAGAATCACACCTGAATCTGATATGGACCACATATGAAGGTGGACCAAATCAGAATTAAAAATATCAAATTCCATGTGACACGTCACATATAATGGAAAAAATATCTGATTTGGGTCACTTTGGCCTGTAATCTGTCACAATATCACTTCATGCTAGCTCAAGGTTTAATATTGCATATGTATGATTATTTTATTATTTTCCATATTAATTATTGATTCTGCTAAGAAAATAAAGAATAAAATATTTGAATACAATAATGTACAGTTGAATAAACCACATTCTCAAAATCACATTATATCAAAACATAATAGAAAACAATTTAAAAGTGGTCCTTTGACTCTAATTTTGCTAATTGCTCTATTAGCACTAACTCATGAATTACTGATTATTGTTTACTGACTGTATTGTGGAGAAAAACAAGCCTTATCTTTAGTGTATTGCTTTTAAATTTAGTTTTATTTATTTCATTTCTACAAGAGCCTTTGGGAAACTTATATGCAAATGAATTGTATTTGTTTATTTTGTGCCTACGCACCCAGAGTCACGTCAAGTTCTGTCTGCAGGCAATCAATTAGCAACATTTCTGAACACAGAGTAACAAGCACAGGGTCAGTGGTGTTTTATGAGCTTGCACTCACACTATGTGTCACACACAGCAAGCTGAATTTCTTTCTCTCTATTACATTTCTGTTGCATGTCTTCACCACAATAAATCCCCCATTTGATTTTTCTAATCTAATTTTAATAAGGGATTATTACTTTTTTGTTGCATTTAAGTGCATTTACATGTAGATAAACACCACATATAGTCAGGTAGGTCATGACGAAGGCAGCAGAACTACCCAACAGTGGCCCGTTATAAGAAATGAGCACTTCTGATTAGCACCGCAGGGCCATTTGTTGGAAGTATTTGATTAAGCAGTGAACTAAAGAGCTGCTCTGACTGAGCCGGTCTTTCTCTGTCTATCAGTTTTACCACCCTATCATGTATTCCACAGGTTTTCCACAGAGTCGGTCTGTCATTGCCGCATAATTGAAACTGCTCTGTCTCTATTATGAACAAGACTGTCCTGAGCCTGCTCTGCTAAGCTTTGGTCTCAGATTACAGTTGTACTGTGTGTGTGTGTG